GCAGGAGGGGAGAGGTTGGCAGTGCTCTGTGGTAACATGTTAGGCTGGTACTGCAGGAATCACAGCTCATCAGTTAGGTAAAAAGGGTTAGATAAAATAGTGTATGTCTATAATTGAAAGGGGAAATTTTGCATATTTAGAGTGTACAAATTAGCTGAAATAGCCTAAAGTTTGATTAATGGAAGTAACATAGTGGTGAGAGCACTTCTGCTCTCACACAGCACACAGGTCAAGCGTTCAGATGTTTATGGTGAACTATGTTTGGCAACTAAAGATGGAAACTTCAGCATTTCTAAGCCCCCTCTTGTTCAAACCTCCATAAAGCAGGAGCTGGGACAGCAGTGCTGTGTATGAAGCATTAGAGTGCTAGAACCACTGGGCAGAGAATCAGGTCACACATAGATCTGTTAATTACAGAAGTAGTCCAGGGTTGCCTTTTATGATGATGATTTTCAAGATTTTCTTCTCATTTCCAAGTTAATTGCTAAAAAAATGGAAATAATGAACCATTGTACTGAGGGTGAGCTCAGTGTGTTTCAGTGCAGTGTACAGTATGTGCTGAAGAGTTTTGTTTTCGCTGTTAGGAAGAACTCATCCATAGTGGACTGTTCAAATTCCTGCACTTGCAGAATCTCTGCACATCTCATTAGCAGTGAAACAAGGTCAATAACGTCCTCAGCTCTTTTGCTTTGCTCTTTCACTGTCATGCAGGAACCACTGAGCTGCACTTCTATCCTCAGCAGCTTGTAATTCTGTATTAGGCCGTTAAGTTCAGCTCCCTTTTTTCTGCCTCCTCACCAGAGCCCTGTATCTGAAATTTGAAACCCCAGACCATAATGATCCCTTGGGTAGCCTAACACAGCCTGAAGAGTTGCCTCAGGGTGGAATTTCTCCTCTGTGTGGGCTTACCTTTAAGTGCAAATTGGTTTCCTCTCAACGTTACTAACAGAGTGATTGGATGTACCTGTTCAGAGCTCTTCCCCAGAAGAGTGTTTGGAAATCGTTCAGGGATGAATTCCAGGAGAAGTTTTCCGAGTTATGAGACAGCAAAGGGAATAAATACTCTGCATGCTTTAGTGAAGCAAGCAGCTTAGTGGAGACATGTCAAAAGCTTTCATTTACTATCATGTTGGACTGTATTAATGAGCACTTCACCCTGCCTCCTGCAGAAGCACCTGAAAGTCTTGATGATTTCTGGAATCCATTTAGCTTTGAATGAGATGGGGTAATAAACACTTGTATGCTAATGACCATTACACAGCACCAGAACATTTCAGCATCCATTATTCCCTCCCTATAGAGATTTCTTTGAGCTCACATCCTGTCAGTGGAATATCTGATTTCAAATATCGCAATTCTAAAAATATCAGAAGGTTGTATATAGCTTGCAGGTGAGTCTGTAATTAATAGAGCCATCTGTGAAATTTGGATTTGGAGTCTCGTTTGGTTTCTGGTCTTTAAATTAATTTTGTGTCCTGACTGGAACTCTTAGTCTTGCCACATTCTGCAGACTTACTTTTTCTTCTTATGCTTGCAAGTTTTTCTTACAGCACTTGTAGAAGCTAACAGGATGCCCCTTGTTCCTGCTCCTTCTTGTCATTGTGAGGTGTATGTTAGTTACTTCCCCAGTTGCTTTGCTGCAGTTCCTCTCTCAGACATTCAGTGTAAGTGCATCTGGAGGCAGAACCTGCTCTGAAAGATGGAGATTCCTTGAGGTGAGGAAACCCCATATTTCTGTCATCAGACTTTACCACTGTTCACAGTGTTTCTGATTTTCATATGTATCCACAGACTCTCCTTCTCTGGGTTTCCCAGCTATGGGAGTGCTCTCTAATCCATTCCACTTGTCCTGTTCATTATCTTACATCTCTTGGAGGATCATCTGCTGTTTCTAAGAAGTCTTTCCTTTATCACATCATCATCCAAAATTTCTACATATACCTTTAAATCTTGCTCTCACAGTCTCCTCTCTTTCCTTAGATTTAAGATGGATGCCCCTAAAAATGGTTTCATGATGCTCTTCATGAAAGATTTAATAGAAAAGTAAATTAAATTGGGTTTAAGCAGCTTGTGTCAAATATGTCCTGGCTCTCAATGCCAGTAGCAAGCCAAAACCAACACTTCCCATGTGTCAGCAATGAATCAATCCTCCATTTAGACGTTTTCACCTTTAGGGCAACAGGCCACAAATTCAGGGCATCCTGAAATGCCTAATAAAACAAAGCACAGGAGTGTATATGAGAGTATGGGGTGTGATTGGTTGGGATTTTTAAAAATGTCTTTATTTTTTTTAATTGATCTTCTAGGAAGATGTTGAAGAAATGCAGATCCAGCAAAGGAACATAGTACGAGGATATTTATAAGCATTATTTCTAAAGAGCTTTCTTTCTTTAAGATATCAGAATCTTTAAAGGATCTTTTCATATGTATTTTTAGCTCCATCCACACTCTGATAGTGTAATTTGCACAGTTACCTTATTGCTCTTAGGTTCAGCCAACACAGTGAGCAGAGGTATGGTATTGAAAAGTCTAAATGCTTATCATTTCTTCTCACATGCTTGCCTGTGACCTTATTGATGACTTTTTTTTTGCCTTACTAATTCTGTTCTCTGGAAATTGAAAGCTAAATAAGAATTGGTTTTCACTCAAAGTGAAGTTTAAGCTATTAATTATACACTGGGTAGAGACATAATCATGCAGATTGGTATCATAAGAAGCAAGCACCTTTGGATGAACATGTTCTTTGTGAAAAATAAACTTAATTTTCTCTTGTCGCTGCAGATTAAGTTTCTCATTCAGAGATGCTGCTCAGCTGAGTCCCTTAAAAAAGATAGTCTGATTGAACTGTATTAGGATTTGGGGCTTACAGCACATCAGAGAACATTGCTGTGGGGAAGCAAGCAGTGAGGGAGGCTCAGGAGACAGGGATATTCCCTTTCTCTGCTCTTGGTATACTGTGATACCACAGGCAAGTCACTTCACTTTGACCAGTCATTCCCATATCTCCTAAAGACAAAAACTGCCTTTCATTTTGTCATTTATCATGGCATTCTCACAAAGCATTATTCTCCGTGTAATTTCAGCAAAAAAAAGGGGGAAACTGTTGAGTTAATAAAGTTGTAGCACTTTTATTTTTCTTCCCTTTACAGAGCTCAGAGGCTGTAAACCAGTTACTAATAATCATGTTATCCTCTGAAGGGGATATAATACTTATGTCTTAGTAGTACAGGTATAGTAGCAAATCTGCCTGGGGTACAGCTAAAAGGTAATCTGTCAATCTGTGGCAAAGCTACATTTCTGTTTCATGTAATTCACTTTTCATCTGGACCAAGTTTCCACATTATTTTGTTGAGGCATTAATCCATTTTGTCTAGTCTCTTGTGTCACAGTATCTGCCAAAACTTTTCTCTCTGTATTTGTGCAACTAAAATACGTTCATGAAGTTGACTGCACGGCCAGTACTTCTGACTGTAATATTTCAGGCAGCATTGCTATGTCAATAAAGGATTTGATGATGTATAGTATCTGTCTGACACAGCACAGCTAACACAAACCACTAGTGTCAATGCAGTTATAATCACAAAAATTCAGCTTCTGTTGGTGTAGCTTGTTTTGCCTGGAAGCATGATGACATGAAAAAATTATGCTTGCAAAAGACAGTTTTTAATACATCTGTGGTACAAAACTGTAACTACAGAGGAGGGTATATCTGTACCAGCTCACACTAGCAGAAAGCCCCTCTGTGTTGGTGCAGCTATACCAATTCCTTCATGTGATGCTGGCCTTGCCATAGGAATCTGTACACTGGAGGAATCAGGAAAAAGTCGCTTGGAGCTCACAGACCTGTTTCCTTGTAATATTCTTGTTACTATGTCTGTCCAAATGTTGAGAGTGAGGCAGAATGAAAAGAGCAGGAATAATGGTGGGGAATAAGGTAAAAAACAGGTTAAGAACCACTCCAGCTGAGTAAGTAGAGCTCTGTAGCTGACCTTAGCTGGCATATGGTTTGAGACAGAGGAAGACCAACTCACAGCTTCTTTTACCACTTCTGTGTGAGCTGCACGGGATGAGGACTTTGATTCCTTTAGGAATCAAGGGCCTCCCATCTTAATGTGTGTGATTTTCAAACTGACAGTTAATATTTGATTTTTCGAGTTTTGTGTCAGACACTGCAAGTCATTCTGCAGTGGTGCATTCATAACCAGGATAATTGTATAAGTTGCACTAATTTGGGTTTGAAGAAGATACAGGAATAATCTCGAGGTTTGGGAGCACGTGCAGTTTGTTAAGGATATTCTTTCTCTGCGTCATTATTCTTCTGTCACAGAACCTAATGGTCAAAGATACAACCGAGCAATTATTCTTTGACTATGTCACTAGAAAACGTGCCAGAACCAAACAAAATTTACTCTAGTGATGCTTTAGGAGAAGGAACAAGATAAAAAGAAGGAAATGCCAAGAAGAGATAACAATTTGTTTGTTTTCCCTCAAACTGCAGCAATCATACTTTGGGCAGCCATGAAAGCCTTCGCAAGGCAACCACCTGCAACCGAGCAATTATTCTTTGACTATGTCACTAGAAAACGTGCCAGAACCAAACAAAATTTACTCTAGTGATGCTTTAGGAGAAGGAACAAGATAAAAAGAAGGAAATGCCAAGAAGAGATAACAATTTGTTTGTTTTCCCTCAAACTGCAGCAATCATACTTTGGGCAGCCATGAAAGCCTTCGCAAGGCAACCACCTGCATTCAGCCTACACGACATAGCAGGAATTTGAAACAAAGTTTGGCTAGAATGGTATGTTGTCCCTTTTTCCTTATCTTTCTTTCAGCATCACTGCAGGAATAAAATTCCACCAACTCTTCTATATAGCAACCTGCAGTAATAATCAAAGGGAGATTATTTGCTTTCCTGAGAATGCATATATTATTGCTGAACTCCAGGTGAAATGTACTGGGAAACACCTCTGCTTTGCTACTGTACTTAGGTCTAGTGAGTTACTGTAGAGAACACAGAGCTGAGAAGTCCAAAGGTTACTTTTTTTCAGAAAAAAACCTCATTTTGTTCAGAATTTAATGCTGTTTATTTCAGGTGGTCAGAGAATTTTTATTTTTGATTGGCCTTTCTGTTTTGAAATATAACAAGGGCAAAAATTCTCAAAGTACTGTGTAAAATGAATTAGATTTAGATTCTTGTCATTATCACTGAAAATCAGGCTGGGGCTGATCAGATGGTATGATGCATACGTGTGTGTGTGCTTGTTTGTAGACATGTAGAAATGTCCTTGCAGAAAACATTGTTTTGTCATAATCTCTAAATCCAGGGAGATTGCTATTCATGTTACTTGAGTTTAAGCAACGTTGCAGTGGATTACTGAGCTTCAGTGACACTGACCTATGCTTCTAAATGTGAGCTTTATTCTCAGTGAGTGACCTTGATTTACTTTCCGACCCAAAGTCTGCAGTACAGCAGAAGCTTTGCTCTGGTTAGTGTTCACTGGCAGTGTGTCATCTCTGTTCACAGATAGTACCAATTACCTGCTTTGTATAGGATGCTCAGAGACTGTTTGCATCCCATGCAAACATTATTGGTGTTTGCAGTTTTGGAAATGCTTATAATTACCAGGTAGAATGATTACAAGCAAACAATATCTTTCAGGCAGATAACTAACAAGCTTGAAAGACAAATGAGCAGTGTTCAGACCATTAGAAAACATTCATTATCTCAAAGAGTTTGTGGAACCATAATTAATAATGTACAACAGGGTTTAACCAGGAAGGGTGACATTTTAAGATCTCTTAAGTGAATTATTGATCACCCCTTTGCAGTAACTGACACAGCTCTGAAAGCTTCAGGCCATGAAGTTACTTCAAGTTACTAATAATAGCAAAGAGCAGGAGCAGCTCTTGAGGTCGAATAAGTCATAGACACAGTTTTTCTCCAGCTCCAGGGCATGTTTGTGACAGAGCACTTCTATAGAAAGTAGAGGTTCTGCTTGCAAGCAAGAGTGCCAGCAAGTTTGTCATGTCCAGAAAACAAGACCTAACGGAAAAAAGATACAGTGCACTTGTTGCAGACGTCGCTGTTAATGTAGAGATGGTCGACACAGGTTCTGTGACGATAGCAAAACTTTATTTCTAATTCCTCCACCTTCTCTACAATGCTTCTTTTATACTGTTCTTTACACACTGTCCACACAGAGTGTTAATTATCTATTGGTCAATGATGTGCTAATGCATAATTTATTGGTTAACAGTTGTTTATATGTGCCCTTACTAACTACCCTAAAACATTTTCTTCTTATAAATATCTTCATTTCTCACAACATGACTACCTCGTTAGTCTCACAAATACAGACTTATCAAGGTCAATGCTGATCTCATTCATGAGGCCTTCAGTACAGCTGTCAGCCTTCAGGGAAGCATTCTTTGCCCTGTGACACACACATGCTTTGGAAAAGACCATGCAATTTGTCAGGTGCAGTAGAAGAGGGGTGCTGAAGGTCTGAATTTGCTCAGTGCTGATGTGTGGGTCCAGTGGAGCAGCAGGGTGAGATGGACGTTCACCTGCCCTCAGTGAGGTTGTCTCGTGTACTTCACTTGCAGCATAATGGAATGTCCTGTTCTAGTGCTTTGAAACTGTAGTTGAAATGAGATTATGGTGTGCTCTGGGAAATCCTCCTCTTTGGCTTTCTAGTGCTGCCAAGACAGGAGTGGAAAGCCCTCCCTGCAGGAGGTGGCCCTTTGGTCACGACACACGCGTGTCCGGGGAAGCACCATGCTGTTTATTGAATGCCACAGGGGCAGATGCTGTGGCACCAGAGCTGCACAGTGCTGTTGTCTGGGTCCAGAGGAGTGGCAGGGCCATGCGGGAGTTCGTGTACAAAAAGGTGATGACCAATGTCATCTAGTGAATGCCGTTTATTATTTACAAAAGTGTTCCTTCTATGCACACCTCTTATGAGCATCTTCTTAGTACTGGTTAAGTACTATTACTACTATGAATTATAGTTTACTACTCTGCAATCCCGGTCAGAGTCATTGGAGGGCCTTGGAGCTGTGCCCTGCCTGTCTGGGTGCTTCTAGCCCTGCCAGCCTGCTGCTGTCAGCCTCAGCAGGGTAGGTTGATGGGCCGTGGGCGCAGGTTGTATGGGGCGTGGTTGTCAGGAGCCTGGTAGATGGGGGTGCTGGGAGGTGCCGGAGCTGTGCCCTGTCTCTGGGCAGTGCCAGCTGAGGCCTGGTTGGTGGCTGGCCTCCTGCGTAGGTTGTAGTGGTGCTGCACGGGCCTGTTGCGTCCCATCTCCAGGGCCATCCTCCTGCGCAGGCGCACGGGCAGACCTACCAGGTACTCCTCGTAGGTGCCATCTCCTCGCACGGTGTGCAGCAGGCTCTGCACGGGCCGCCTGCAGACAGGGCAGTTGTCTCTCCTGCTGACCCACTGCCGGATGCACTTGAAGCAGAAGCAGTGCATGCAGTAGGCAGCATAGGCTGGCTTTTTGATGTGTCCTAGGCAGATGGTGCAGTGGGAGACTTCTGCTGCCTCCAGTGGGGCTGCCTGGCTGGGCTGGCTCGGGCTGTTGTCCTCTGGGTCGAAGCTGTTCTCCCCCATGTCTAGTGCGGCACCTGCTTCTATGTCCTGCCAAGGGAGTTGTTGACAGTGCTGGTGCTTGTCTGGCAGGAGGAGCACTTGGACTTGTTGGGCAGTTACCTCGCTCCAGTGCTGCAGCAGCAGGTACTGCACAATCAAAGCAAGAGAGGCTGTCCTAGGGGGAGGAGTGCAAGAAATGCCCAGGTCCGTCAAGAAGGAAAGCCTTCCTTGCTCCCCAGGGTGAGGTTTCCTCTGGCAGCTCAGCTCCACACAGGGAGTGTGCCTCCTAGGTGCTCAGCTGCCTGAATGTGCCAGTGCTGGGGAAAGTCCTGGGCTTTGAGCCAGGTCATGTGTGACATCACAATCGGTCACTAGGTGGATCCATTATCAGATAGGATCTGTGATGGGTGATGTCATAATCCATCAGTTGGACTAGATCAACCTAGGTCCCTGTCAAATGAAATAAAATCTTTTCTTTCTTTCGTTTCATCCCCTCCCTCCCCTCACCTATTGCATTCCGATTCCTTGTACCCTCCTTGTAAATTGGAGTAACCTTGAGCAGCTCCCGCTCACTGGGCACCTCCCCAGACCCCAAGATCTATGGTAGATGACTGAGGGTGTCCTGCCATAAGATCCACCAGCTCCTTTAGTACTCTGGCATGAATCCCACTCCAGGCCTGGTGGCCTTAGGGACACTGAAGTGATGCAACTGGCCCCTTACATTTTCTGTGTCCACACAGGGGAAGTCAGCGTTGCTGTTGCTGTGCTCCTCTGGCTCAGAGGACCAGAGAGCCCCGGGTCTATCCTTAGTGTTCAAGGCTGAGGCAAAAAACACATTGAATGCCTCTGCATTTTTTGCATGCCCATTTGCCAGGGGACCATCTTCTTCAAGTATGTCTAGTGTTTTCCTCAGGCCTTCTCTTGCTATCGACATATTTAATAAATTCCCTTTTTGTTTTCTGGTACAACAAAAGCTGCTGAATGAAATGCTGAGGTCCTTGAGGAAGGAAAGCCTCCCAGCTTCTCAGAGTGAGGTTTTCCCTCTCAGCTCACCTCTACATCTATTGGTCGTCTCTCTGTATTCCCCAGCACTCTATGAAATTTAGGTAGAGTTGAAACACATCAGAAACAACGTTGTCTGCCTTTTTTTATGCCTCCCAGGCAGATGGGGCACTGGTATGTGCTGGTGCCTCTGACTGCCCTGCCTGTATTTGAGTACATTCCATTCCCACTCTGAATCTAACTGGGTGCTGTACTCCTATGTCCAGTCAGCCTGCTTTTCTGAACACTCTTCACCAATAGTCCTTGTATAGTAGCACCCAGTTGAACATGCCAAGATATTAACCAGGTAAAATTCCAGATCAAAATGTCCTGAATATGCTTAAAGGAGAGTTTATAAAAGAATATGCTGGCATTGGAAAATTCCTTGCAAATCGTTCCTGCATGCATTCTTCTTGTTAGAATGATATATCTCACTGTACACCTCTCTTCCACAGCCTGGGGATGATCGAAGACAGTTCAGTGTGAATCAGCTGTTTGAAGACACTGGTGCCTTAAGGCTGATGCAGTAAGTACACTGGTACTTAGTAGTACTTATGTTTGTAATTGTTGGTATTTGTTGTGAGTCTCCTTGTCATAAAGTACAATTTGTAAAACTACTGGGGACAGGAATGATACCAAAGGGAAAGCAAATTGGGTCCATATTTTAGACTTTTATTTCCAGACCTTAGTGATTTCTTGGCAGAAATCAATAATCTTTTATCGATCTGTGTCATTTTCCCCCATTCTCTTTATTTCATATCTTGTAGGTTTTCATTAGAGGTTTCATGTTTCCCAAAGATTCCTGCGTTTGGAGGTGTCAGAATTTTCATGTGTGTGCTGCTTTAGAGAATCTTTAAGATTAAATACTGTAAAAATGATAGTTTTCCTCTTCACTATGCTTGTGCTTTCACAGTTGAGTGATATTTTTTATTTTCTATTAATTTTTTTATTATGATAAGCTTTTGACTTGGCACTCAAAGTACATCTGACTCTAAAGCTAGCATATGATGGACAAGCACTCAGTGAGTTAGAATCCTCACTTCTCTTCCATTATATCCTGTGTCATACATTTTGATAAAGAAGCTGTTAACACTTTTTGTAATGTTTTTCATCAATGTGTTATGAAGTACTTGGCTGACAATGCTAAATGCTACACCTCTCATTTAGCAGATGGAGGAAAATAGAGGTAGTTTTTCAAGGTAGCTGGTACTTACTGAGGACCCATCTGGTTTCCTAGAAGTATGGCCCAAATTTCCATTATGGTCCTTGCTATAGAGATCAATCGGTGATGTGGATTTTGTAAATAAGTCTATGAAATTCAGGACCACAGAGAACATCTGCAGAACAGGATCATTTGCCTCCTTTTCTCCAGGCCGAGCCTTCCCACTTCTCTCAGTCACTCTTCATCAGACTTGTGCTTCAGTCCCTTCACCAGCTCCATTTCCTTCTCTGACACGTTCCAGCACCTCAGTGTCCTTGTAGTGAGGGGCCCAGAACTGGACCCAGGTGTCACCAGTGCTTAGTACAGGGGGACGATCACTGGTCCTGCTGGCTACACTATTGCTGGTCCAAGCCAGGATGCTGTTGGCCTTCTTGGCCACCTGGGCGCACTGCTGGCTCATGTTGAGCCACTGTAGACCAGCACCCTCAGGTCCTTTTCTGCTCGGCAACTTTTCAGCTGCTCTGCCCCCAAACTGTAGCACTGCAGGGGCTTATTGTGGCCCAAGGGCAGGATCAGGCACTTGGCCTTGTTGAACCTCATACAACTGGCCTCAGCCCATGGATCAGCCTGTCCAGATCCCTCTGCAGAGCCTTCCTGTCCTTCATCAGATTAACACTCCCACCCGATTTAGTGTCATCTGCAAACATGCTGAGGGTCTCCTTGTTCCTCTTGTCCGTATCACTGATAATGATAATAAACTGGACTGGCCCCAGTACTGAACCCTGAGGATCACCATATGTGACCAGCTGCCAACTGGCTATAACTCCATTCACCATGTCATTCTGGGCTCAGCCATGCAGTTAGGCACTGCTTAGTTTGTGGTGATAAACAGCATTTTAAAAATGGAACCTAGCATTTCTTCTAGTAGGTGCTGCTGCCAGGAAACTGAAAAGTGAATGCTCTAAGTACATACTATATACTTGTCACCTTCATTCCATATAGACCAGCTGGGATCTAAGGCTGACTCTCTTGTTTCCACTTACTTCTTTTCAAAACTATTTTACCATATTGCCTTGCTGAAAGCTATAAAACAGTCCTCAACATCAAAGCAGCACTGCATGTTTATGGCATGGTTAGCATTGCCATATTTATACATAGCTAGCCAAGATGCACTAGTATGAAGTATGTCTGTGTGATAACATGGGTATTACTAGTTATTTAGCAGGCAAAGATTCAGGATAGTATTTGCAGAGGTATTTCAATCATTGTTACAAGTTGCTGGATTTGTTTCCTATTAATTATGTAATATTATGGCTACATTTTACAGAAAATTCTCTAGGGTATGCTGGAAAATATGCTAATTTTTGGAAGTAGCATTATAGCTTACAAAATGATTCTGTAACCTGCATTTAGGCTGCACATGCTAATAAACATGCTAACCTGTATGTAAGAAGTTAACAAGGCAAACTCATGTGTTCTGAACTCCTTTTGAGTGGGTAATGCTATGAAAAAGATGTTATGCCTGCAGACTTGGTCAAAGCAGAGCAACAGTTTGTATTAGCTATGATTTAACAGGATTACAGGAGGAAATGCCAAACAGCCACTCCAGACACAAACTGCCTGGCTAGATAAAGCTCGTGCAGATTGGAAATAAAAAGCTATAAAGGAAAAAACACCTGTAGGAGGAAAGGAATAGTAGGCATCTCCAGGAAAATGCACTATGGTCTTAGCACAGGGAAGGCCACCTAGCATTTCTCTATTTCTCTATGATTGTTTCAGTGCAATGACTCTCCTTTTCTTGCCATGCAATATAGGTAATGAAAGTCTAACTATGTACCATGAAATCTGTACTTTGGACTGTAGTTGTAACTCTAGTCTCTGATTGCTCAGTTTGCCCAGCTAATATACATGAGGACACACACAGTTTTTCTGGAACAATGGTCCATTTGCTCTGAAGCTCTGAGGAAATCAAAATACTTTTGTGACTTGCAGCTACCAGAGCGTGGGGGGGGAATTACTTCTAAGCCTTCTGAAGAGGGAGAACCCTGAGAAAGGGTTAGTGGGGCGTATAAGAGGGGAAAAAGGTCAAGGATAAAATGATAGAGTAAAGCAAACAACAAAGGAAGAATGTAAATTGCAATTGCCACTTTTTCATAAAATCATATGCAAACCCTAACTACCCCTGATGACTATCAAAGCATTTTACTCAACAGTAGGCTAGGCAGCATGTAAAAGTGGGAATTAATGTTTTCATTTCCTTTCTGGATGATTTGACCCTGCAGAGGATGCTGACACGGGAATACACCTTAGGCATGGTCTCACAGGCACCTTTTTCTGTTTTGATCCAGCTGACAAAGAACTGACAGCTAGAATTTCAGTGTGCTTGAAGCACAGAAAACTCACAGAAATGCTTCTTAAAAGCAAAACTCTCATTCTGGTTACCTGTTGGGGATAGCACTTGGAGCCTGTGGTTCTAAACTGGTGAGATTTACAGCTGAACCATCAGTCCTGGAGTTTGGTGCAGAGGTGTTTGCTCCTCCTCATAATACTAGTGAATTTAGTGAAACTTTGCTAAAACACAGCAATCTTTATTTTATGAAGTGATTGAGAAAGAAGGCATTGAATCATAAAGTCATTTAGGCTGGAAAAGACCTCAAAGATCATTAAGTCTAGCCGTAAGAATGTAGCCTGTACTTTAGTCCATCTTTCTTCGTGGTAATATTTAAGGATTTGCTTAACCTTACAGAGTAAAATAAACGGAATGTGAAGTTCAGTAGACACTGAAATAGCAAATCACTTCTTGTATTTCTTTAACTTGGGAAACTTGTATCTTCGAGGTTTAAATAGATTTTTGCAGCTATTCTTTGTGGCAAATGACTACCAAGAAAACATGAAGATCCATGCTCAACTGCATATATGCTTGTTCTTATTTTATGCTGACATAAAATCACTGTCAATTAAACTATTCCAAATGTATGGAATGTGGAAAATAACAAACTCAAACACGCTCTCTTGTTACTAACTTCATGTTGTTTTCTGTTTTCTGATTTCCAGACAGAACCTTATCTCTGTTATTATGAACTATAGAGGTCAAGTGGAATATCTGTTGCAAAATGAGGTATTTGTTCTCTGTTTGTTATAGCAGAAAAGCATTGATTTCTACATGACAGGTATCTAATTATTAATCTGTCTCAGACACAATTAAGGAAGAGCTTTACTTAAGGCTGTTTAATCTGACTTTGAAAGGATATTAATTCTCTTAATAAAACTTGGCTTGAGGTTAGGAAGAAGGTGCAACAAATTTAAAATATCAAAGGTGACTGTTTCTTAGTGTCAAGGAACCTGTAAATAAAACCAGGATAGTTTGGGTTGGCAGTATATTTGAAATTGGCAGAGATATAATACATTCTATGGATCTTCAAGATTTGTCCCTGATTTTGCAAACCCATAAGCCTAATGTTTACATATTTAGGATATATATGCAAGCATGTGATAGTTTGAAGGCTTAGGTTTAGGCAGCAAAACTCCCAAGAGCTTTATTTTAAAACATTGTGGGCTGCCAGTTGAATGCTATGTGTTAGAAACAAAAATCTCTTAGGAAATCTTGCTCACCAGTGTTTTAAGGACAAATGTCTAAAGGACAAAAACTGAGTCATATCTTGGATGAAACCACGTGGTTATGTGATTTGACTCTCAGGTTGTCATGATAACTGGCTTTCTAGGGTTTAAAGCCAGAAATAAAACAAAAGATGGTTGCAAAATCAAATGCTGATGTAGCATGGAGATAGTCCAGTGCATCCCTTCCAGTGTTATAACTCATTGTGCTGAATTATGGATTTCTTTGAAATAGATGTTAAAACATAAAATTCTTATTTTGTTTCAGAACTCTGTCATCACTATTTAAATCCAGATTTTAATCTTGCTGGATATTCTTGATCTCTTTTGAATAGCCAGAAAACATACACTTGCATACAAAGGTGTATACAGATACACACATGGGTATAAAGGCACTTTCACATACAGACATGTGCATGGATACACAAGTATCTAGCAGTAAATAGAGAGAGATACAAGTATTCTACAGTTTTGTGTAAATCTGACACTTTTTCAAAATGCATACACATTTAGAAGCTGTTGAAATGTGCCTAGCTACAAAGTGAAGCTCTGGGTTTGATACTGGGCAGGTATTGACTGAGTGTTCCTATGTAAGCAGTGTCTCAAAGGGAAGTGTTTAGTTCTTAAAATGTGATGCAGTTATAACGATTTGGAAAATTGAGGTCTCTGAGCTCAAATGTGCATATATATTTCTTTCCTGAAGTAGACCCATCAGTGCAGTTATTTACATTCACTTGAAATTTTTAGGGCCTAAAGTAAGGAGATTCTGAATTCAAAGGAAGCTCTAACCTCACCATTAATGAGGCCTTGCAGTCCACCCTCTGCAGCTGGCACTGTGGAAATATTCCTCAGACCTGTAATGAAGCACTTTTAAATTTGTTTTTGCTCAAGTATTTTACCTTGAGTAAGCAATTTCTTGAGATCATTAACTTTTTATAAAGGGAAGGAAGTACACTTGTCAAATATTCATACTACCCAGCAAATGTGTGTATGTTACTCTAGAGCTAAATTTCTCCATAGTTTGTTTTTTTTAACAAGGTCTTGTCTACTCAGAGACACTTAATAAAGTTCATATTAAAGTTCAGGATTGCAAGTTAATGCTAGAGGTTAGATGTTTTCATTCAGAGGATCAGTGCATGGAGCTTTTAAAAACCTGTAAGAATTAAATTGGGTGTTACAGATTTGCTTTAATAAGTGGCTCAAAAAATTATGGAACTATAATGTAATAAGTTATAAATACATAGTAAAGCAAGCAAAAAATAGAGGATGCTTTATTTGTTTTTTTTATCCTTGTTTACTTCTTTATTTAAGCCATTGGGAGTTACTCACATGTACTAAATCAAGCAGACACATAGCTGCTGAAGTTCTGTACTCAGCTGGAAGTTCCTTAAGCATTCAGTTTTAACCAGACAGATCTTGAGATTCTCAGTTTGAAAAAAATAATATTTTGCACATTTACCTACCTATTTCCAAATTTACCTGTTCAAAGACTTGGAGATCCCAATACTTTGACTTATGTGACAAGCCCACTCTCGTTATTAATGATGAGAAATAAATGGAAAAATCCTTTTAAGAGGGATAATGCCTCTATATAAACCAAAATATATCAAGATGTTTGGCACAAGGATTGGATTGATGCTGTTAGAGTTGAAATGTAAAGAGTTGAGATGTACAGTGTTCTCAGTGTGTGTGCTAACAACTAGCTGTTTTGATTGCCCTGATAACCAGTTGACAGGCACTTCAGTTTCAAATCTATTCAGAATTTACTATTTATGTAGAAAGAGGACTCTGTAAATTTTTTATGCATAGAAGTTCTAGAATGAAGTAACATTTTTTAAATCATATAAATAATTGAAAGCCCAAAATATCCTTCTAAGGTTCTGCTGCTATTTAAATATGTAGGGGGAAAAAATTCCCAGTTGTTGACTGTAATTCTTTTGGAATTTCAGAAAATGTAAAACTTGTGTAAGAAATGAATCTGTGTCTTCCCTTCTTTGGGACAAAAATCGATGTCATATGTCTAGATATGGAAAAGAAAAACTCTACATGATAATATCACAAAAGAGGAGTGTGAAATAAATCATCATTTATAGTATAGAGTGCTACATCATTTTATTTATATGCTATCTCTCCTTCATCTGCAATATGCTCCTTAGAAGTGGCTACCATATAAACTAAGTGTATGGTCTAGTAGCTTCTATAAATATTAAGTACTTGGATAATTTGTCTATAAAAGGACTAGCGTATTAAACACAAATTGCTGCATTCCTCAAGACACCCAACTCTTTATGGAATAGCATCTATATGTATGTACAAAAGTATATAAACTGTTGGTGGGTTTGGCTTATTTTATTTTTTTTCCTGTCCAGAAAGCTGTTTCTGTACTTAAGGATTAATTTATGTATGTCTGTTGCTTGTGTACTGCTCAGAAACTGCCCTGCATAAATCACAGAATCATAGAATCAACTGGGTTGGAGAAGACCTCAAAGATCATCAAGTCCAACCCTACCGTGGTTACTCGACCATGACACTAAGTGCCACATCCAGTCTCATCTTCAAAACCTCCAGGGATGGTGAATTCACCACCTCCCTGGGCAGCACATTCCAGTGCCTCATAACTCTCTCTGTAAAAAATCTCTTCCTAATATCCAACCTAACCCTCCCCTGGCAGAGCTTGAGTCTGTGCCCTCTTGTCCTGCTGCTGGTTGCCTGGGAGAAGAGACCAACCCCCACCTGACTCCAACCTCCTGTCAGGGAGTTGCAGAGGGTGATAAGGTCTCCCCTGAGCCTCCTCTTCTCCAGGCTAAACAACCCGAGTTCCCATTCATAGGCAGAAAATCCCTTGTTCTGATAATCCATATACACTTGTGAAGAAGAAAAATGCTCAATTCAAATTTATTGAAATTAAATGCTAAATTGGAATTATATTTAATATAATTACAAACTGAACATAGTAATCAAATATATATACATGTGTTTATATGCATTTCTTTAACAATTCAGAGTAAACTGACACATATAATGCTTTGATTTTGTCAGTGTCACGTAGTAGTGAAGCTATGCCATTTTTACAAGTTTTTACCTCTGCTCGCTATCCATGTGTGTACAGAGAATAAATCCTGGCAAGAGTTCAGTTATCAAAATCCAAGTGGTAGGAAAGAAATCTAAAAGAAAGGAAATGCACTCTTTGTAAATTGGCAAATTGTAAAAAGTCAGTCAACTTTAGACCAAAGGAGGGTCTAAAGTTCTGAAGAGATCAGTGAGCCACAGCCTTTTCCTCTCTAGAACATGCAGTATGAAAAGGCATTGCTGTCCTTGATCACTAAAAATCCCCAACAACTTGTATTTAAAAGAATTCTGA